ACTGAAGTTTACTTGATAGTCAACCCAAAACAAACTTTGCTTGGCATGCTCATCCCAACAACTTTTCGTCTAAATAGCTCCATGTAAATCAGTCTAGGTTTTTTACGATCACATGTTGCTCTGATGAGCTTTGTGCTCACATGACTCAAAAGTTATAAATAACGTGATCAGGAGGGAGAACCTGGATCACAGTGATCTGGAAACTAGAACGAAATCGTTAGTCAACCGGTTCATCAAAATGTTTACCAATTGCGGGATAAAAGTACAGAACAACATATATCTGTCAATGCTTAATGAAGAAGTGTGAAAGATTCAATGTAGTTGATCCACGTGATACCTTTGATTTGCTTGTTTGTTTGTTTTGTCCTCGGGAAGCGATAGTTCTACACTACGTGCTGCTTATCGTTGTCGTTCTCTTATGTTGTCTTGTTCCATTACACGAACAGTTCTCTTTTCCTTGAACATTCATTGGTTTATCATATCATTTGGACAGAGGATGAGTTCGTTTTTTTATTCAGTCGTGGACAATCATCATTGGTTCGTCACAACCAAAATCTATAATTAATGGGCGTAGTATTTTGGGCATTCGTCGTTGGGGCGTATCCTGTAAGAAATGTTAGTCTAGGTGCTTTGATACAACGTGCTCAATGCACTTTACTACGTTTCTTAATTCACAAGAGAATTACAAAGTTGACGTGAACCTTGTTTAACCTCCACTTCACTCGGTTTTGTATCCTAGCCCCCCCCCATTCACTTTTATTATTGTTCTTGCGTTGGCAGTATGCTCGTTCCCAAGCTGTCGATATATAGATATATATATATATATACTATTTATTACGAAATACTCTATAAAGACGCTCATATCACGTTTGTTGTGGATAGTGGTATCTAACCTACCTACAAAGCATCGAATCGTAGTATTGATTCATAAATGGGCGGACGCTGAAAGAGCTGTCTATCCAAAATTACCCGATGTTTCAAATGAGTTTGTTGTGACAAAAATACACGTTGTACACGTTTATGACTGAACTGACAAAGATAAGCGGATACGCATGCTTGATGAGCGGCAAGAACCGNTTTTGTCGATCTTTCCACTAGATCCCGCTCTAGTTACCCTCGTCGAGCGACCACTAGGGATTTCTCTTTGAATTTCCCTACTCGTTGTATGTCACCAAATGCCATTGATCCATGTTACTACGTTTTTAAGTGCCCGATAAATGTGAACGATTCGATTATTTTACAGTTTGATAACACAATTTTGTTTTCGTTTCAAAATCGACTCATCGCTTTTTCTACTAAGACGAAGAGAACTCATAGTTGAATCGTTCCCCCAGCTGGCGTTGTACTCACGGAACAGGTCTGCCCTTTTTTGTATCCTTGTTGGTGTTAGTTTCCATGAAAAGTGAAAAGAACCTGTTAACTTGTATCCTGATCCGAAATGAGGGCAGGAGTTGTCGGCATTCATCCTCTCTTCAGGGAAGTCTAGGCACACGACCTTATTTCGAAGTATATAGGTATTAGGAATCCTATTCAGTTGAGCAAAATCTACAGACCGTGCCCCGCTGCCTTGTGAACTCGTTAGCCACGGGGATGAGCAGCTTGAAAAGCTGTTCGGAAAATGTAATATCCTTGGCTATTCAAAAATTAAGCGGTATGCATATTTATGTATGCATTTTAACCTGCTTGGTAGCTAGCATGGTGCTGGCGCAAAACAATTAAAGTGAAATGGGTAGGGGATAGTTACAAATAGGGAACGATTTACAAATTAGAACAGCTGTTTAAATGCGATGTGAACGGTGGGGGAATCAGCGATCTGCCAAGGAGTGAAACCTACAACCAACGTCATCAACAGTGCCTGTGAACAACTGAATGGGCTAGTCCAAACATTCACCATCTAGAATAACTGATCCCGGTTCGAGTACTGTTAGGGACATAAAAAGTACTCACTGCTGACGAGTCCCAAACAGGACGATACAGCTGTCCAGTGCTCTTTGTTGGTTATCACAAACATGTCCATTGTTTAAATGGTGTGTTTTGGAATGCAATTGAAGTGAAGTGGCCACTTCACAATCACTGATGATGTCACCTCGGCTGGTGATGAAACGTTGGCAAACAAATTGCCAAGCTCGGCGAACAGGCGAAATGGAATAATATGAAGTATTGAAGAATGATTGACTACCATTTGACCTCTGTTGATATTTATGCTCTCTTGGTTACCGTAAAAGATTGTCGCCTTATCGTCAGAAATGAAGATATTTTTCAGTTCAGTAGATCAGAGAAAATCGGAGACACCAATTTTCATGTTTTGCGGAATAGCAACTGTCTGTAGCTAACCGGAACTCGTCTGAGACATGGAATCGCACGTTTCTTCTTGCCGTACAATAGATGTTTTCAGTCGATTAAATTTCCGCCATTCTGGAACTTGTGAATTTATTTTCTGTGAGCTGTATGAAATTGTTCACCACCTGGCGGTAGTGGCCCGGTGATAACGTCACCAAGTTATCACCCGAGGGGCCGTGTGTTCGAGTCCCACCACCTCCGCCTGACTTTGTCCATTGCGTTGCATGGCAGCCCTATGATTGGTCGCTTCTCTCTTCCTGAAAATTGCATTATTGTATATTCGATAAAACAAAGTAAAAATGAAAAAAGAAAACATTGAGGAATCTTTTTCACTGAAATATGTATTTTATATGCCTTTTCCGTTCAGGTGTTGATCATCTGCTCGCTCAGCATGTCGCACACCTGTTTACCCGTGAGCCAATCTCCGTTTTTAAGGAACGTGTGCTTGTGCCAGAAAACGAAGAATTTGTCGAACATTTTGAGGTAATTGTGTATTGTTCAATTACAGCCTATGTTTTGCATTGAGTGTTAATTTACTCACTTGGGTTCATTTTGATGCCACAATATTGAAAAATACTCTAGTCCCTTTATGAAGAAAAAACAATGTTTTTCCAATTTTGCAACGTTGCCCCAATGTCCATAAAACGAGGAAATCCCCGTTCGGTAACCTTAGTGCAGTGAGCTAGGATGTGGCAAATCTCTGCGTTCCAGTGGAAACGAAAGCAAGTGGCTATTGACATAATCACGGTTCAAACAGCGTATTTTCAAGCGGTCTGTATGTGTGTATAACCTCGGCGAAATGTACTCTCATATCTGCAACTTTGTCGCTGAATTTGGACGATCTTTCGAAGAAGTACAGAGTAGTCAAACATATTGGGCTTTAACAAATTGTATGCTCCGGCTGGCAGTAGAACCGCCTCTGTTTTATGTTTCTTCACTTTTAGCTGATCGCTTATTATCTAGGTTAATCTGTCAGCTACTCAACTGCATGATAATATACTGTTGTGTCAAATGAGAGTGCTCGCCAAGTTGTAATCTGTTCTTTTTCTTTTTAATCATTATTTCAAAACGTAACCAGTTACTCAGAACTGGCAAATATGCCACAACATATGTAGAAGAAATCTGTAGAATGTGTTCATACGTTGTGTGATCATGTTATCTCCCGGTTGCCCTCACCTAGGAAGGAGGATAACCTTAGGCTAAAAAGCCAAACCTGCAAGACTACAGGACTGTGCTCAGAGTCCACAGTCCATTGTGGGCCAGTGTCCAGTTCATTGGAGCATTCGCTCTTTGGACGGGGTCACAAGTCCAAGGTGCCCGATCGGTCCGGTGACCACTGCCACAGCCGGGAGGGTGTTTGTGGTTCGTACGCCTATTCTTAATTGGTTTGAAATCAGGGTTTTTAGCTAACTCCGCTAGGTGAACTGCCAATGGTTCACCAACCCGGTAATAACCCCGGAATTTTCCTTTTTGTCCTCTCACTTTGGTGGGAAGGCAGTGAGTAGGGCTTCCTCAGCAGAGGCTATTTGAGACTCTTGGTCATAATCTCTTCTTACTGTATAGAGATTCGAAGCAAGCATAACATTGGCCTTTTCTGAACAGGCCAAACTGATTCATGCTGCCCCATCCCGACGAACATCGAAACTGTGTATCTTGTGTCGTGTTCCGTTTGTGATCTGCTTTGTTTTGCTCGTCTATTCTGATTGCTTTTTCAATTGTTCTTGTTCAGTACGATTAATGTTTATCTCTGGTGTTCATTTGAATAATCCGGTCGACCATAAGGTGTACGTTTAGCTAACTGACACCAGTAACCGATGGTCTGAATCAGCTGTGCTATCTATCAGTATGATCACAATATAACCATTTAGAGGAAACCGAAATGAGAAATTGCTGCTTATCTGAAAGTAATCATTACTGTTACTAAGATCAATTGTATAAAATGTGCAATGTTAGAATCAGATAGAAAATCACAATTTGTATTGTCCACTTTTTCTTCAGTTTGTTCTCTCGATTGGTTCTCGAAAACATTTGGTGGACCGGAATAAATTCATTACCGGTTCACTTGAATGCGGTCGAAGTTTAGTTGGACTTTAAACCAAATGTAAGCATATGCTGTCCGCACACTTTGACCCCTAACATATTCATTGTGAAAACGGATTATTTTTCCTACTTCACGCAGTCATAGCTGATCTTTGGTTGGCGTCACCCAAATTCTGTTCCCCTGTGGTTGTTAGCTGCTACACCGAGATAGAGACAGAAAAACAGATAGGAACTTCATCGATTCCTATTCATTCTATACTTCAGAATATCCAGTCGACCAATTGGCAGTCAATGCGGTTCAAACCTCCCCCTCTCAATACGGATATTGGTTGGCGTGTGGAATTCCGGCCCACCGAGTTGCAGCTGACAGATTTTGAGAATGCAGCATTTGTCACTTTTATTTTGTTATTGTCACGTACAATTCTTCGTTTGAAACTTAATCTTCTCATACCGATCTCAAAAGTGGATGAGAACATGGCGACTGCAATGAAACGGGACGCTGCCCGGCAGGGGCTGTTCTATTTCCGGCAGGGACATCGTCTTACTACAGGTGAGCGGCAGTACTGATTCGATTTTTGTGTGAATTAATTTGTTTTTTTTAATGTAATTAAATCGATGTGTTTATATTTGTATTTTTTAGTTGTCTTTCTCAGATTTTCATCATGGTGGCTGTACTGTATCTAAATGTGAACCTACTTCGCAAGTTGTTTTAGTCAAATAATGGCCGTGACGAGGCAGACTCTGTTGTTGCTTTTATACCACTATTTCCTGTGGGAGGATGAATCAGCTTCGTCGATATATGTGATACTGGATTTCCATGTGTGGTTTCAGTGGTTAGACGGCGACAGAGGAGAAGCCGTATTTTATTCTGATTTCGAAGGCCATACACCGTTTTTAAACCAAGGCTCTCGGTATTCCCCTCGATGCATACCTGTAAATCACTGCCAAGACAATAGTGCCATCCTTTAGACATCGTTGGTATGCGAGCTCATCTTAATAGTTCCGTTCCGAGATGTTGGAGGACGAGTTCGAAGTACTGGAGATGACGGCGTTGTGGTACCGTAGATCGGTTTTCGATGGAACCGTAGCATGTGTGAACTTACCCATCTAGAGAATTGATCGTGTCGCTCTGTATTAAAGATGAATTGAAGTTACCAGTGGTCGGAAATCTCAAGAGGTTTGCAGCTCCCACTGATCACGTCTTACAGTTGTAGCTCAGTTCAGGACTGGGTACGTGGCAGCTCGATGTACTCGCACTTTGGTATGGACGCTGATTTTACTATTCCAAGTCCACTGCGTTCAACGAATTTGTAGGGAAGTTCTCCTAGCCCCGGATTCTCTCCTTTGCAACTGTCTTAAATTAGTGATAGAATTATTCCTTTTTCGCAAATCATGCGTTGTTTCGATGTTTCTGTTATTGAATGCTTATCTACAAAGCAATTAAATTAGTCTGTATGTCTGATTTGTGGTATTCGTTGATGTCCGGTATTTCCTACGCTGTAACAGATGTCACACCTATCCAAATGGCTAAGGCTTGTGCGAAATTTCGTCGCAAACGATCTTACTCTTTGGGCACTGATGCAACCGAAGGTTCAAACGCTTCCGATAATGTGCCCAAATCAGAAGTGAAATGCTCCGTTCCGAATCCGTACACCGTTACCAACGGCCTGTCGGTTAATCCGGAAGAGACGTACACATTAATGACCGTTAACGAAATCATGAATGGTAGTGTAAGTTTTGTGTTTTATTTCACATCACATTCCTGCTCGTCATTCGTGATATTCGCTTTCCTGTACGTTGTTTTCCACTCAAAACCAGTCTGATTAATCTTTCTTCCTGTTTTGTTGGTTCCACTGGTCATAGTTGGTATCAGTCGAACAAATCGAAGCTGAATTGCCTGTGGCTGTCTCTTGAAGTGTAACGTTCATTGAATGAATTGTTCACTCTAATCTATTTCAGTTCAGCAGACTTATTTGTATAACCAATTCGTCGTGGAAACGAAGCATGAGCTGAACAGCTAAGAAACACAAGAAGCAGTCAGGTGGTGAGTTTCCAACCGCGTCATAACTTTGGAGGTTCGTGCTGATTTGAGCGAGATGCGATGACCGCAAAGATGGATTGTGTTATATCGTGTATTTCTGAAATTAGAAACGGTCTGATCAGCTGCCCGGCGGCCCAGTGGGTAGCATGCTTTCGTTCAACCTGTGAGGTCCCGGGTTCGAACCCCGGTTGGGTCAAGGAATTCATACTGCTGGTGGGACCCAACCAGGTCGAAACAGCCGTCCAGTGACTGATAGCTTTTCGACTAACCTCATTTAATCCATGAATTCATCGTATAGTCACACTACATCCTCCATTCTTTTAGGACTGATTGCAGTTTTTACTTGGACGGCGTCCGATCGGTTTATAATTGTGAGCAGTGGATTAATGCATTTAGCGTCCAGAAAGATCCTCCATATTATTTCATTATGACGATTGACCAATTTGTGGCTACGTGCTTCTCTGTACACTAATGTCAGAATGCCTCAAGTGATGTTGTTCTTTCTAACAATTCACAGATTGATTGTCATCGGTCTCGTACTGGCTACCACCACACTGTTATGGTTTTACACGTTTCTAAAAACCACTTTGCTTGCAGCACTCTCCCTTCACTCTGTGTTGCACTGTAACTAACCACTTTAGGTGATTAGCTGTTATACGTGACAGAGAGAGAAAAACAGAGTGACGTCCATCGTAGAGCGAATGAACCAAATCCTCAACAGTTCCTCTCGAATCAATAATCATCCGTATTATCGTATGGACGTTCTATCATAATCCACAATGGCCTACGCATCTTCAAGCGGAATCAGTTTGTCTGAGGTGCAACGTGTTCTTTTCTGGCGATCAGTATGCTTTTACTCTAATTCCTCAGAGAAAAACACCGCAACATATATCATACCATTATCTTGATTTCATGTTCAGGATACTTTCCCAGGATTGCTTCCGCTTGTCCGTCACTACGTGAACGCCTCTGGAGGAAGCAAAGAAACTGTTCAACTGGTGCACCAGTATCTGAACTTACTTGAATGTCGTGCCTCCGGTGAGTACAGTTTTAATCTGTGGCTAACGAATCCTTGTGCATAACAAAAACTCCCTAATTTCGCTTGTCATTCATTTGGATAGCACGTTCAAAAATCAATCTAATCATTGAATCTCTGTTGCACTCTTTTTCTAACAACAGAAAAACTTTCATGTTATGCAACTGTCCAGCTATTCAAGTCACTGGACGCGTTTTTGCTTTTACGATGCTTCTATACAGTAGAAGAAAAACCGGCTCCCCGGTTACCCTACAAAATTAATCGCAGAAGTTATGAACATAACTGGTTTGTTTTGGTTGCGTATTCGTTTGCATAAGTCAATCGAAACTGACCGATATTACACCCCGTCGACCAATCAGATATTCAACTAAGTTGATCAGCGGTAACAGTACAACATCAGGATACGCCTTTGAAGTCCATTGTTCTGATATAACCAGTTCATGCAACCCGGTCAGCCTTCTTAACCACATCCTGGAGCTATCAGCCTCCGATTGTTTACACTATATTCGGGTCTTTAGTGGCTTCGGATCAAAGCAAACTATTTGCTAAGTATTGTTATACAGGCTATCCAGAAAGTGATGTAATGTCTGATTTCAATAACCTTGCATTATGAGGACACAAATTGGCAAACAAGCTCGTTTTCAGTGTGTCTTAGTCATGCCATTACAACACAGTAAATGTGATTAGTAACAGGAGGATTTACAAGGGGAAAAACGGAAAGTAATTAAAGTCTATCTTGCAGTAAATTAAATTCGAAACAACGGTCTTTTTTAAGGTGCCCTCTTGCAGAACACGTGCAAAAAGAAGTAAATGTCGCATAGTCATGCAAAACCCAGCTTTGTCGTTCATTTCCGATTTCCTAACGG